GGAGGTTGGGTAGGGGTGTGTAGGGGGAACTGGAAGTGGATTCTCTCTCTGGACACCTCAAGGGGTGGGGCTTGGGTGGTAACCATGGTAAGCGAGAACAATACATAACAATAGTTCACACCCCACTGGCACTTATTCTGTGCCAGACTCTGGTTTAAGCTTTTTTCAGTGAATTACCTCACTGCATCCTCTGGGCACATGCCAAGGTCAGTACTCTGATTAGGTCCATTTTGTGGAAGAGAAAACTATGGCCCAGAGAGGTTAGGTGTCCTCTGCAAGGTCACACAGCAGGAAGGGAAGCCGGGTCTATGTCGGGGCTGGGGGGCGGCCGGGGTTGGTTCTTCAGGTCATATGAGGACAAGGAGAAGACAAGATTGGTCCTGTCCACGGTTTCCCCTTCGGGGTCACCCCAGTCCCCATGCTCTTGGGACCCTCAGGCTCACCTGAGACTCAAGACCACTTCCTTTCTCTGAGGTCAGAAGCCCCGAGGCTGGCTGTGTCTGGCTGGCTCTCCTGACCCCGAGGACTTGGTTCCTCTTCCTGTCCCTTCCTCCTTCCCCCACCCAGCTGAGTGGGCCTCTGCCTCTAGTGGTCCCTGTTATCTGTCCCTCTGTGTCCCGCCCCAGGCACCCGGGACCCCCAGATCCATCCTAGCTCTATGTGATCACAAAAACCACGGGGTTGTTTGTGGCAGAGGGAGAGGTTTTCCTCAAGAGGGTACAGTGTGAGGGAGGAGAGTCAACAATTTTGGCAAGGGATGGATTGGGTGTGAGGCCTGGCTTAACAGTCGGCTCTGTTGACCCCAGGGAGGCCACTTCATTTCTCCAAGCCTCAGTTGCTCCATCTGTAAAATGGATTCCATAATAAATCTCCTCTGTGGGTTTGCTAGGGGAAGTAAATGAGCCAGTGCTGAGAAAAGATGCACTGGGGTGCCTCAGGAAATGGCAGCCGGTGGCCCCAAGAGCATTTAATAGAAGTGATCAGTGGCTTGACAGGATAGAGGAGCTGGTCGATGTAGACTCGTTGAATGAAGTATCATTGGGATGAGACTGCCCCCTGCCCTGTGTCATGGGTGTCCATCTCTCTGTGACCCCCAGGTCTCCAACCGTCAAGTTGAAGCTGTTTGTTCCTTCCTTGGAGGGTGAGGGTACCACAAAGAGGTTGTGGTCATAGTTGACCACAAGCCAAGGATGACTCAACTGGCTGGGGTTCTTGTGAAAGATAGTCAGGGGTCAGAGGTGGCTGGGATGGGACTGGGGATGTAGATTCTAACTTCAGCTCTTCAGAGAGGCTCCCCGCAACCCACGGCAGAGGGTAGGGAGGGGTGGAGCTTCCCTGGTGCCAAAGGAGGGAGGGCCAAGGTGATGGCTCCTGTAGGGCTGGGGCATTGGGGCCCTCTAGTGAACACACTTCCTGAGCCCCTACTGTGCACGGAAGTGGGTGGGGACCAGGCCTAGACTCTGCCCTTGAGTAGTTCAGAAGCGAGTTGCCCAGAGGAGACAGTGATCCTAATCAGACGGTGCTAAGGAGAGCTGAGGCAATCAGAGAAGGCTTCCTGCAGGAGGCGGGCTTTGCAACATGAATGTCCCAGACCATGTCAGTGGTGGCAGCAGGAGCCATGGGCCAGGAAGGCCTTGGGTGTGTGTGGGACACCAGGATCCTAGTTTCTTTGGAATAGAGAGTCCAGGTCCAAATGAGGCAGGGGTGGGCAGCCTGGAGAGTATGGGGGTCAGCCCACACCCCCAGGTGGCCTCTTACCTGGCAGGAGGAGGAGGAGGAGGAGGAGGAGGTTGTAGTTCAAGGTGGCTGTTAAAAGTGTGACCCCTGGGGATCACTCAGTTGAAATCCTCTGCTATTTTGGGTTGTACGGCAGCTCGCCTAACCTCTCTGCCTCTGTTTTCTCATCGGGAAAATGGGAATATTGAGGGCCATGGACCTCACGGGGCAGTTGTGCAGATTCAACAAGGCCAAGCTTGTCAAGAAGAAACACTAGCTTCCCTCCATCGCTAGCAGCAGCAGCAGCGGTAGCCTTAAGCTGGCCGATCCCACAGGCACGGGGCACGGGGTCAGGAGGAAGGGCTGGATGAGGGTTTTGCAATTTGCCCTAACTGCTCTGGCCTCCCTGCTCCTGGGTGGTGATGAGCAAAGCCCCAGACTGGAGAAAACAACGAAACAGCCACTTCCTTCCTCGCCGGGGTCCTGTGCACTGTGGCTGCCAGCCAGCAGAGAGGCAGAGGCGAAGCTGCTCTCCACCCCTGGCCACGCCCTGGCCCCCCGGTGTGCCCCTGGAGCCTCGGTCCTACTCAGTGGCGTTCTGGGGCTACACCCTGTGTCTCCATACCATGCAAACAACATTCTCATCTCTAAAGGTTCTCAGGTCTCCCCCTCCCTTGGGAGGGGTGTCTCAGTTTTCTTTTGGCCTAAACAGAGGCCGTTCTCCAACATGTGGGGACCCTTGTCCTTCTAGAGTCTTTCTTCCTAACTCTCTCTTGACCTCCCAGCCTTTTTCGTCCATCCCCATGGCCGCCGCCCCTCGGTCAAGCAGCGCATCACTGGTCTCCCTGCTTTATTTCTGTACTTTCAGAACAACCACGATTACCCTCAGGTCACCACCATTATCAACCGAGGGCAACAGATTGCTGCCTTTACCTGCCCCCCAACCAAAGCCAAACAGAAACTGCTGACAACCTCGATGCCCGCACCACCAGCTAACATCAGACAGAGAAACACTGACGGATTCCACCACCTGTTTCCCTGTCATCACTCACCACCATTACCACTTATTATCACCAGCACCAACAACCCACAATAACCAACCACCATTGACAATAACAACCGCGATCGCAATACTAGCCATCAACAACCACACATGACCCATCAAAGCAGCAGTCAACCATACCCCTTTCCAAAACCAGTGATGCACCACCACTAGTCCCAAGACCGTCACCCAAAATCAGCAATGAACAACCAACAGCAAACAAACATTATCGTGACCAGCTAACTTCAAATGATGACCAACTGCCATCGTTCCACAGATCAACCCTCCAGCTGAAAACAACCAACCACCAACCACCAACATTCAACACTCGCTGGCACCAAAAACAACCATTACTATCACCAGCCCACCCACAAGAACCGTGGTCACCACCAACTTGGGACAACTGACAGCGACGACCACCATCACAACCAATGGCACCAACAACCCAACTCCTCTACAGTAACCAAGAATGAGGCACATCCATCCACCACCACCGCTAACCCCCACCATGAATGAGCGTCACCCACAGCGGCAGTTACCGTGTATTGAGCACATATTATGTGCTCTTTAAAGCACTTTACGAACATTGTTTCACTGAATCTTTCGACACTCTTCCTGGCACCCATTACACCTCCAGGAAGATGTCAGCACCCCTAGACAGAGATATTGGCCTCATGGATGGATTCCACTTTTTTTTTTTTTCCCTCTGTGGTCCTCTTGCATGAGTTTCTCCCTTCCCAGACACGGTTGGCCAAGCAAATCATTGACTAAGCATTTCACACAGCTTCCTCAAGAGGGGCTGCTTTTCTCTCAAGTAGCAAATCATTTCCTGTGTTCTTTTGATCAAGGAGTCTACCTGGGTTGGCTCTGTCTGGGAAGAGTTTCCACCCCAAGCCCAGAGCTCTAGCTGGTGGTTTGCTTGTGAATTAATCAAAGGGGTCCTTGGACAGTGACGCCCAATTTATCACTGACTTTCTGAAATAAGACGTTATCTCTCAGGCTAAGGCAATCCTTGCCTCCACCTTGTTTAGCTTCTGCCGCAACTGCCAGAAACACTACAGTTGTCACCACCAGCTCTGTGACTGTCCCAGCCACCCACCCTCATTAACAGAATGACAAAAAATGAAAGCTGAAGTGGTTTGCAGAGGCACGGAGTCATGGAGTGACATAGCCAGCCCAGGCTCCCTCTTGATGTGTGTGACATGATGCTACTGCATCTAGACCCAGGACCATGACAGTCTCCCCAACCCTGTCACCACAGTCATCATCAGACCTCAGTCTCCCCAGGTGGCAATGCTTCTGGCTGCAGTGTTTTTCCCTGCCACCCTCCTGGAGAAGGGTACCGGTGGTGGTACGGACATGCTGCATCTCACCAACTCCTGCTTCTGTGATTGCTACAGCCAGACCACCCCGTCGCCCACAGCAGCATGCTGTCACGCCACCATCACTGCAACCCACCGCCCATTTGACCCATCTGACACAGCTTCCCCTCCCAGCTGTGGACGCAGAGGGGCTGAACCCCAAACCCTCTGAACGTTCCAGTGGAGAGATTCCCCCAGACACCTTCCACATCTTGACAAACTTCCAAATATGACATATGTGGGAACTGAGACTCACAGAGGGGAAGTGACTTGCCCAAGGCCACACAGGAAGGTGAGGCACCAAACCCGGCTGGGAACTGGGTTCCCTAAGCCCCAGGAAAGGGATCTGTCCCTGTCCCTGCAGGCACTGTGTGATCCCTTAGGACCACCTTCTGTCCTCCGGTTACTGCTCCGTCCTTTGGTGCCCCATCCTCATTCTGGCATCCTGTCCACCAGCCGATGGGAGTTTGGTCCCCTGTGAGGGATGCTGGCAGCACCTGAGCTGCACAGAGGGACCCCAAAGGGTCTGCTGTGCCCATTCTCATCATCCCACTTTCTGATGGTGGCCTCTAGGTGCCTCCACCTGGCTGGTGCCGCCACCCCTGCACTTGAGGGCCCACCCTGAAGGACTTACCATGGTGGGGGCTGGTGTCTGGGTCCCTGGGGGATGTCTGAATGGGTCGTGGCAGGGATGCAGGCTCAGGGGGCTCCAGGGGGCGGCTTGGGCATGGCCCTGTTCCTGCTGCTTCGGCAGACTCCCAGACCTAGTTCCTCTTATGACAGCCACCTTCTCACTTCCTTTGGCGGGAGGGGCCGCGACTAGAGGGGAGGGAAGCTGGGCCTGGGGGGCGGGGAGAGAGCCCAGGCAGGGCCGAGGGAGCTGGTTGTTTGGGGCTCTGAGCCTGAAGGGAGAGGTTAAGGATGGATGACAGCCGCTGTCAGACCCCAGAAAGCCGCTTCTCCAACTCCTCTGGGACGCGGCTGCAGCAAACTGCACTGCGGGTCAGCTGGCTGCAGGACTGACTGCTCCTTCCTGGGCTTCGAAACCACTTCAGATGTATGTCTCCTCTGGGCATCCCCGAGCAAACTCCCACCTCCAGAGCCGCTTCGGCTGGTCCTTCCTCCAGAAGGGACCTCGGGAGCCAGGTGTGTCTGTGTCAAGGGGAGGGCAGCGGGAGTGGGGGGTACCAAGAACTGAGAGCACCTGGAAGGTCCCAGACTTCGGATGTCACACCTGGAATTAATGACCCCCAGCTCTGTTACTTCCGGATCTCCCCATTTTGTCATCGTAGAACGGCGGCACCTGGCACACGTGGGATCCAAGTGTCGGCCCATCTCCGGATCTTTGGGAGACCAGCAGGAAATGGCAGTTCCTAGAGGCTGTCATCTGATACACATCGAGGAGATGGCGGGGGCAGAAGCCGACCCTGGGTGAGCCTGGCAGGGAGGGCTGTGACCAGGCGTATCCCTGGGCTCCCGGCAGCACACCGCACCCTGCCTAGAGGCTGGCACGCCTCGGCGCCCCCCAGTGGCCACATTTGGGGAGAAGCCCGTTTCTCCCTGGACCTCCTGCGCAAGTTTGCTCAACCGACTGGCTTGGCTTCCGCAAACCTCAGCAATGCTTCCAGCCACTAGGAGTGAAGAGTCTGGAGGACCCCCACCTCGTTGAGGGCGTCAGGGGAGGCTTCTGGGAGGAGGCGATGTTTGTGCTGAGAGGTGAGTTGGAGTTAACTAGGTGAACAGGGAAGGGGAGGGTACACCTGGCAGAGGAAACAGCTCTAGCAAAGGTCCCAAGATGGGAAGATGGTAGGGAGATTGAGGGACTTCCGGGAGTCCAGCGTGACTGGAGCCTGCAGAGTGACAGGGAGAGCGGTGGCTGCAAAAGCAGGCGCCACGTTGTGTTGCTTTGAGCGCCTCCGTGAGAAGCTGTATTTTTGACCTAAAATCACTGGTTTCTAGTCTGTGTTGGAACAAGTCCCCTTTGGCCTGTTGGGGCCGACCTGCGGGGGGCTGTGGTCGTTTGCAGGGTGGGGGTAGGGGACAGCTGAATGTGACCCAGTCTCACTGACACACACCCCCACCCACGCACGGAAATCTACACAAGACAGAAGTTTATTGATGTAGGGCTTCCTGGCGAGGGGTGTGTGGGCCCCAGGGCAGGGCCTGTAGCACCATGATGGGGGTGGCCTGGATGACATGGTCCCCCTGGGGCAGGCAGGGCACAGGATAGGGTGGATCTTCCCAGCTCTGCCTCCCCCTGTAGCTGGTCTGGTTAGGTGGAGGGTGTCAGGGAGGTCGTGCTAATCCCCTCCCCCGTGGCGGACATAGATTCCCGCCCCCCAGCTCAGAGTGGAGGGTTAGGGCAGTGCTGGGGCGGGGGGCAGGGCACCGGCTGACCCCCTCCCCACCCCCACTCTTCACAGTACATATTCCGATCAAAGGCGGGGGTTGTGCTGGGGGTCTCCCTAAGGGTGGGTGGCAAGAGCATTAGGGCGAACAGTTGTTCCCACCTCAAACCCACCCTGGAGGGGGTCTCATTCTGAACTGGGAGATGGGAAAAGGAGGGGCCGTGGGCGTGGCCAGCCCCTCTCCATCCCCCTCAGCCAGGAGCCCCGCAAGAGTTCCCAATAAATAACTTCCGGCTCCGTCTCACCCTTCACTCCCAGCTCCTGCCCCCCTCGGGCTCCTTCAGGCTGGCCAGCTGCAGGCCTGGTCGCCCCATCCCCATCCCCAGCCGGCCCCCAGCCTTGGCTCCGAGGACCGTGCGCCCTCTAGCGGCCTTGACAGGTTTTGCAGCACATTTGGCGGAAGTAGGCTCGGCTGCAGAACTGAAATTTCAGCACCAGGGGGCAGTAGGCGACCTTGTTCACATCCTTGCACTCTGGAGGGGGCGGGAGAAGAGTAGGTGAGGGGAATCAGGTCTCAGCACCCCTTCTGGCAGCGGCGCGACCGCAGGCTGCACAGCGCTTCCTAGCTCCTCTGTGCCTCGGTTTCCTCACCTCTCAAAGGGGGCTTATACCAGTAACTATGTCATTAGGTTGTTTTGAGGATGTTGGGAGGGAAGTGCAGGTCTGGGGCTTGGACACCGTGCTACACCACGAGAAAAGTGTTCCTTTTCCAGTGATCTGTTTGGAGCTGTAATCCTTGCTCGTTTCCCTTTGTAACAGACTGAGGACCTTGAGCTCCAGAGCAGTCACTCCTCTCAGGGTATTTGTGTAGTTTGTGTTCAGGGTAATTGACAGTCTCTGTTCATGACAATGGACCCGGGTTCCCAGTTAGCAGTTAATGATGTATGACAGGGCCCGGTGCTAATAAAGGGCTTCACGTGGATTATTTTAGTCCCTCTCCCTAACACGGCACTCCCTCAAGTCGGTATAGTAAACGCCTCTTGATAGATGAGAATACGAAGGCACAGAGGTGGAAGGTGAATCCAGGCAGTTTGGTTCCGGTGCCCTCAGTAAGTAACCTATTGCTCTCTATGAAACATAAATTTACTTAGGTAGAAAAAAATGGGTATATTTAAAGCAGTGGTTCTCAAAGAGATGCGATTTTGCCTCCCAGGGGACATTTGGTGATGTCTGGAGACATTTTTCAGTTTTCACCACGGGGAGGAGGGGTACTATTGGCATGCAGCAGGTAGCGGTCGGGGATGCTGAACCCCCGACAATGCATAGGGCAGCCCCTGTGACAAGGAATCATCTGGCCCCAAACATGAATAGTGCCTGAGGTTGAGAAACTGATTTAAAGAAAAATATCGGGCAGATAATGTTATACATGGAGATGATCAAGGTGAAGGTCATGCAGGTGGCTGGAGGAATGACCTGAGTTTGGGCCCCCAGAAAAATCAGGTGCCTACAACGCCTGGCACACAGTGGCACCTAAGACATGTTGGCAGGCAGGGAATGGTGAAAGATGGTCTGGAGAAGACAGAGAAAGGCATTTCCGTGGTTGCAGAAGCTCTAGGGCCAATGGTCTGGAGCCCCAGCTCTCCTATCTATGGCTTCCTCTGGACAGGACCCTCCTGGTTCCCTCCCCGCCTCACATACCTTCCAGGCCGTCGCCGGGGGGCGCGCTGTCACACTTGGCCTCGCACTGCTGCGTGGCGGGGGGCCGCAGGGCGTCCGCGCACTCGCGTGAGGGCTGCCCTGTGTGGCTGGAGCAGCGCACCGGGCGCTGTTGCTGCCCGAAGCCGCACTGCGCGGAGCACTGTGGGGAGTCGCGGATGAGCCGCAGCCCAGCGCGACCACCCACCCTGCCACCCGTGCCCTGGTTCCCGCCCTGCAGGGCGCGCCGGCCTACCTCACCCCACTCTCCCGCCACCCAGCGGGCCGGCGGGCAGCGGCGCAGGTTGCAGCGCATGGTCGCCGGCGGCTTGGCCGCGGGCGGGCAGTGCGTGGGGGGCAGTGTGGCGCGGTGATCTGCGCTCTTACAAAGGACGACACGGTGGCGGAGGCCCGGCCCGCAGCTGGGGGTGCACTGCAGTTGGAGGGGGCGTTTCATGCTCAGTGGGCGCCTCCCTCCCCGCTCACACAAGGAGTAGGAAGGATGCTGGTCCGCTGGGAGGTGAGGACGGTACAGCTAACTTTGGACCAGTCACGGTGTGTGGGGGGGGCTCACTAGGGCTCGCGGGAGTGGGGAGGCGCCTCAGTGTGCACCCGACATGGGCAACCCAGGCCCCTCCCCGCTCTGCACAGGGCGGGAAGGGGCGGCTGACCTCCGACCAGTCGAGGGCGGCCCACTCTGGAGGGCAGGCCGGACCGTGGCAGGCCTCCAGCACCGGTGGGCGCGGCTGCGGGCAAGCGCTGTCGTCCAGCGCCTTTTCCTCTGCGGCCGAAACGCGGCGCTGGCACACGACGGAGCGGCTGCGCACGCCCGCATCACAGCTGCGGCTGCAGCGCGACCAGTTCCCTACGACCCAGCTGTGGGGGGAGGGTTAGTCTGAGACAGGACGCCGGGCAGGCCACCCTGAGCTTGGGGCACGAGCAGATCCTCCTCCTTGCCAACAATTAACATCGTTGTGGAAGCTGGCACCGGGATGCCTGTTGCTCCCGTGCCCCACACCTCGAACTCAGAGCAACTTTATTCTGCACCCACATTGGGGGCTGGGAGGCACATCATCCCAAGGGGAGTTCACCTGGACCTGGCCAGGGAGCACCATTGCTCTGACTTTGACCTCACCTTAGGGAGCACCCACTCCTCTGATCCCAGTAGCACCGTCACTCCAGTGCTTGCCATCCCGACCCTGCACCATGGCAGGCACTCACTCGGGTGGGCAGGGCTCTGTGTTGCAGGCGCGCTGCCTCTTGGGTAGCTTGCTGTGGGCGCTGCAGTGGTGCGGAGCCACGGCTGAGCTGTCCAGCTGATTGCGGCACTCCACAGCCTGCACCTGGCTGCCTGGGGGCGGGCGAGAGGTCTGCTCAGCCCTGCCCGACCCAGAAGGTCGGTCTGGTGACCAGGACCTGCCCCACCCCGTCCCACCCCGGCCTCACCGCCTGCACACTGGGCCGAGCACTTGGTCCAGGGCGCGTAGTGCCAGGAGTACGGAGGCAGTGCATCTCGGGTGATGGGTGCATTGAAGCGGTAGCGGAGGACCGGCAGCTCAGTCCGGGCCAGCACCTGGGGTTGTAGGTGGGGATCAAATGGAAATCAAGTTTGAGGCCCCACAAGGATGCTAATGCCCTCCTGCACCTTGCTCCCAGCCCTGCTGTTACCATGATGATGAGAGATGCGTTAATGGGTCCCAGGGCTTCTAGGCTCTGGGTCTGATCCGGCCCTTGTCGCAGCTGAAAGGTGGTCCCGGCCAGGGGCAGGCGGTGGGGCTGGGGGGTCCCAGGCAGCCCCTCCAGCAGCAGGGACTCCTGGTCCCCCTTCAGGGCTGGGGGACAGCATAGGGGTCAGAACCCCAGCCACACTGACGCCGCCCCTGCTGACCCCCCGTCCTCATCCTCCCACCTCTGGCTCACCCAGGTGACTGAGGGAGAGGTTCAGGTCCTGGATGAAAATGTGGACGGAGCCTTTGGGGATCCAGACGACTTCCTCGTACCCTGGACAGTGGAGCTCAGATGTCACCCACTTGGCCCTTCCCTGCACCTGCCTGTCTCCCCCATTCCTGGTCCCTGATGATAACAACTAACCATTACCATGCTAAGCACGCACAGAGACATGCCACCTCATCCGCAGCTCTGACCCTGTGAAGTTAGATGTGTCATCACACCCACTTTACAGATGACAAAACTGAGGCTCAGAGAGACAAAACAAATTGCTCAGGTTCCACAGCTAGGAAGTGGCTGGCCTGGGATTTGAACCCACACTTTCTCACCTCTCAAACCATCAAAGTGGTCCGACCCGCCCCCCACCCCCCAACAAGCAGCAGGGCTGGGCTTGGGCAGAGGGAAGGGGGCACCGCGGGGCCCCGACCCACACAGGGTGACTTGGCGGTTTTAGCAGTCAGAGTCAGGTTTGCAGTGAGCTCCATCACTTACGACCTGGATGATCTTGGGCCCCTGTGAACCCTCTGTCCCTGCCCACCTGTGTCCCCCCTAGTTTATCTGTACCCCAAGACTGTCTCCTGAACTCCACACTTGGCCCTCAGTGTGTGTTTGGTCCCTTAAGCCCACCTCCCCTCTCCCACCTCACAGGGGTCTCTTCCCTTCAGCCCAAGGTTGGGAGGCATTCAAGTTCACCACACCCTGCAGCTATCCCCACCCCTAGCAAGC